ATCTGAATTACAATGTATATTTCATACGAACGTATCAACATACTGAAGTTTTGGTAAGCTATTGGCGAAGGCAATGTCTAGGTCCCATCGCAGCGCTGCATTTGGCTATCTTAGTACTGGGCATCGACCATTTGGTTCATTAGTTTTTTTATCCTAAAACCGAAATATTCACGCGAGCTAAATCATGGATGATAATAGTGACTCGGAAATCCTGTTGACAATAGGAATATGCGCAATGGCAAAAAAAGCTAAATCTAAACCTATGAAAGAAATCCTTAGAAGAATGGACAAATTCCAGCATATCAGGGTCATTGTCTTTGAAGAATTTACAATTCTGGAAGAGCCTATTGAGCAATGGCCTATTTGTGATGCCCTAATTAGCTTTTATTCTGGGGGGTTTCCTTTGGAAAAGGCTATTGCCTATTCAAAGCTCAGAAACCCATATCTTGTAAATGATTTGGAGTTTCAATATATATTGATGGATAGAAGAAGAGTATATGAATACCTAAAAAAGGAAGGTGTACCTGTTCCTAGATATGTTTGCGCAGATAGAAGTGTAGGCTCTGTTGAAGTTGTTGAACATGATGACACTATAGAAGTTGGTTGCTCTTTATAAATATTTACCTTAAATCGGAGATTTATAATAACCAAACATTTATTTTTTAGGTAAATAATGAAATATTTCATAAGCCTTTTGTTGAAAAGCCTTTGAATGCAGAGGATCACAATATTTATATTTATTTCCCCAGCACTGCTGGGGGTGGTTGTCAAAGACTTTTCCGAAAGGTTGGTGACCGGAGTAGCAAATACTTTCAAGATAGTTTCATCCGTAGAAATGGTTCCTACATGTATGAAGAATTCATGCCTACAGATGGAACTGATGTCAAAGTGAGTATAATACATGTATATTTAATACCCCACTGTTGAATTTAATCTTTGCATAACTTATTTTCGCTTGATTAGGTATATACCGTAGCTGATGACTATGCTCATGCAGAGGCTCGCAAGTCCCCTGCTTTGGACGGAAAAGTTGAAAGGGACCACGAGGGGAAGGAAGTCAGATATCCCGTTATCCTCACGCCAAGAGAAAAAATAATTGCCAAAAAGGTAGCCAAATCTGTTCGTCAACAAATTTGTGGTTTTGACTTACTACGAGCTAACGGAATGTCTTATGTATGTGATGTCAACGGGTTTTCTTTTGTCAAAAGTAGTCGAAAATATTATGATGATTGCAGCCACATTCTCGGGATGATGATCACTAGAAAGTTAGCTCCTCGCTTATGTGTACCTGCAATTGCTCATTTATGTCCAGGAGCCTCAGCTGATACTCCTCTTGTTCCAACCACTTGTGGAACAATAATGGAGCTACGGTGCGTTATTGGTGTTATCAGACATGGGGATAGAACACCGAAGCAGAAGATGAAAATGGAAGTGAGACATGAAAAGTTTTTTGCACTGTACCATAAATATGCCAGCGGATGGAGTAATGAATTGAAGCTCAAGAAGCCAACTCAATTACAAGAAGTTCTAGATATAGTTCGTTCTCTTTTGGATGATGTCGAAACTGGAAAAAAACAGGATCCAGAGGTAGAAGAAAAGCGGGCAAAATTTGAACAACTAAAGTGAGAATTTTTATAATTTAAAGTAATTAGTATGTTGTTTTAAATTAGTTT